GTGTTCACATTGTGGAAACATCAACTGCAACATGCTAAAGCCTTTGCAGCTGCACATGTTGCACCATCTTCAATTGTCCTTTGAGATGTCCCCAAGAGCAACGCAATCAACATGATCAGCCAGGTATTGTGTTTCAACCTGTTGATGGCAGAGGCTGCTTCGAATTGGAATGGTTATTGGCAAATCCCACACGCTGAAAAGGTGCCCTCGGCCATGGACATTCCAAAACTCAGGAGATTGGCGCTCTGCGCGGTTCAATAAACCACTCCTCAGAGTTTCAGCTGGCTGCAACGGGTCAGCTGCTTGGGGCGCAGGGGTTTTGATCAGATCCCACCTGTAGATCACAAAGAACGGTTGCGGTCGCAGTGGTCATGACGCAGCCTTCGCTCGATCCCGTTCTTTTGATTGCCTTGAATTTCTGTATCCTTGCATGGTCACCCTGATCGGAAGCTCGATGCCATTTGCTTTTCACAGCCTGCCAAAGCCCAAAGCAAGCTCTGTACTCAGCACACAGACCCCATGGATGGTCTCACCAAGAAAGCTTGCAAGGCCAATGGGGCCCTCAGGTTGGACCCAACCTCTTTGACACATGATATCCCGTATCCCGATGCAAGTTGTCCGGGGGAAGGCCCACTTGGATTTGATGCGTCCTGCATTCAAAGCTTTCCTTGCGGCTGGCCTGAAAGCTTTCCCTTTTCGGGCAAGATATGGTTCAACAATGTTCAACATGTTTCAAGCTCATGTGCTTTGTTATGCGACGTTTTTAACGAACTTCAGTGCCAAGCGAATCCCACATCACCAATTCAAAGTCTTCCTGCAACAAGACTGCCGGCCTTTGTGCATTAGGCTCAAGGATTGATGGCAGATCGTTGCCGTGTTACTTTCAGGCTTCATGTTGCAGCTACTTTGATGCTGACTTTTTGTGATATAGCAGGAAGGTGCCCGACTTATGTGAAGCTTGCGGAGGTTTCACCAGTATCCAAGGCGCAGGTGGAACGGGTCGGGACTCTTGCGGCTTCTGCTGATGTGTGCAAGGCGTTGGTAGGTGTTGGGTAGGGTCTTGACAAGTGGATGGTGCTGAAGTCATCCCGAGTCATCCCGAGTCAGCGCTGCACTCCTGGAGCCTCAGGTCACATAGATTGGAGCAAGTGTAGTTTGCACATGAAGTGCGTCTCGGGTCATGGCAATCATTGAGAAACTCCAGCATTATCCTTGAACATCGCATGGAACGCTTGCACCCTTCTGATCTGTCTGACCTGTGCTGCTCAAAGCTGTGAAGCAAGGCGGTGGCCTCTTTGAGAGCTGGCAGTGGCCTATGCAAAGTCGACAGGAGTTGTTTTGGCATTCGATTCAGAAATCCGCGACCAAAGTCAAGCGGAATTCTTGAGGTTCTGTCCAATCGAGTGCAACCTTGCGAGACATGTAACATGCAAACTCATGGGCGGAGGCAGTTGGCAACCTGTTAGTCTCAAACGCAGTTTCTCTGCATGCTTGAAACCTAGCCTGCGACCTGCATCGGTTTTTCAGATGCAATCAGCTGTGCTTAAATCCCTGCAAAGCTGGGAGGACGTGTCTCTTGTCCGCTCATGCTTTCAAGTTTACAATCGAATCCACGTCAATCCAATTTTGCTGGTAAAGCTTCTCAAAAAAATCGGAACGTTTAGAATATGTGATCGCCTGGGCTGTCCGTCACGGCTTGGAAGATACCTGGTTCTGTGGGTCAGACCTTGGCGGAGCTTTGCCCCCTGTCAGAGGCAGCAGCTGCCCATCATGGGCCATTCCGTCCTTTAAGAGTCTCTGATGCGCAACTGGTTTGCTGCAACTGGGTAATGCTGCCGACTCTTGGAGTTAGAAAGACATAGAAAGACAGATGTATCACAAAGAAATGTTGCAGCCCTCCAACGCCAGGCTGCTGCAAACGAAATGATGACAGCCCTGCCCAGGGGTTGTCGTGCAGCTCTACCGAAGGCATGTCGTGCAAAGACACCATGCAGAGTGAGCGTTGTTGCCGTTACCGTTCGTGCTGCTGGCGCAAGTGGCACTTGGGATATTTTCAGCCAAATTGCCAGCCGACTCAAATCTCTACAGGCGCGCGATTCAGCTGATCACTGTCGGCATGACGATCGCAAGGTTTCGTGTGAACGTCTTGGCGAAGAGCCAGAACTTCACCAAGAGGCCGAGCGGTTCTCGTTGTCCAGGGTGGAAATCATGAGCAGAGGATCATGAGATTAAATGATTTGTGGCAAAAAATATAGAAATTAATTGCTCTTGTCCGGAATGAAGACCAATGAAGCAGAAAAAGGTAGGAACAGGTAGCTGCAGGTGATTGGTACTTGTGCAACCACTGTGCTAGGGCGAACCTTTAAGGAGATGTAAGGAGTAAGCAGCCCTAGTGACTTGGACTTGCCATTTGCTTGTGACAGGTGAGTGGGCGGCCTGATGCACAACAGCTTCCGCTTAGAGGAAAATGGAGACAGGCGCGTCTTGGCCATATAAGTCGGTAGATAGATCTGGTGGCAGTGGGCTTGCACGATTCCATGAAGCAGGTTTATGTTTTAAGCGCTTTTCGGTCTTGTCTTCCTAGTTGCCCTGCTACTGCATGTCACTCTGCAAGGTACGACCTTCGGTTTCCGAAGTGGAAATTGGTTTCTATCAGTTTCAATCTTCCCCTGATATAAATCAAGTCTAAATATCACCCTGAAAGTATGGTTTTGTTTGCGCTCCGAAACCTTGGATGTTCTCTTCTCCGCATTTTGGGCTGGAGAAACTCCAAGTTCGCAGTTGCGAGCATCAGCGCTTCGGCGTCATGGCGGTCTGCTGTGGTGCAGATATGATGGCTACGAAGGTGGGGGAAGCCAAGCCGGTGATCATGCAGCGACTGGTGGAGGAGATGCCAGTGGTGGGTCTGAATGCCTGGCGCTTGGGTACGCTAGTTTTGGGGTGCTTAACTAAGACCTCCCACAAAATGCCAAAATCACTGGTTCTAATTCTAAGATATCTGTTTCCAGCACGTTTTTCAAAGGGTCACAATCCCCAAAGTGGAGGATGAAAGAAGAAACACATGGAGTAAAACAAAGATGTGCTTAGAATTTCTTTTGACACATTAAACACAAACACTTTTTCTCACTTGGCAGGTGGGGGTCTCTCAATTTATGTCGTCTGCTGCTCCCCCGCTCTTCGTCCACCACCCCTCCGCTCTTCGTCCCTCCACCTGCGGAGCGCACCTCTTGTGCCTCTGCGCCGCTCAGCTACCTCAAGCTCAGCCCATCGCCGGACCCGAATTTTATCGCATTATATCGCGAACCGAACCTGCGCGCTATCGCGCGCTGGCTCTGCAGCTTGCCGGACGCGAATATTATCAACTAGATTGTCGGATATAGACAGTCAGGTCAAATGGGAATCCCTGATAAGTGCACACGTCAAGGACTCCGTGGCGTGTGTATTCCTTTGCGACACTGAACATGGGCTTGGGCAGCACTACTGTCCAGATGACAATCTGCAGCAATGTCTCTGTGCACAGATCTACGGTGAGCGCAACTATAAAGATCTGGGATATCTCCAAGAGGTAAAACACATATGCACCGATGAGGAGAAAGCAGAACGAAGAAAAAGAGCAGAAGCAATGAAAAGTCGCATTGTTTTCGGAAAAACCACTGACAAAGATAGGGCGGAAGCTCAGCAACTATGGGAGCAGAACGGGAGGCGAGCGAGTTGGGGCCGCGCTTGGTTTCAGAAGTGGTTTGACCGAGTGAAGAGAGCAGTAGACCTGGGACAAAAACTTAAAGTTGTCTTTTTCCCAGGTCACATAGGGTGTGGCAAAGTCCCCTGGACAATGCTGCCAAAAGTGAACCTTTGGGATGGAATTGGGTGTGGTGGCTCCCAAAAAGGGGAAATCGCCAAGCTGGATGAGATGCGGCGCACAGATCGCAGATGGGATTACGACGAAGTCGATGTGACGGAATTCTTGGCTGAACAGTTCAAACCTGGTGACATTGTCGATGCATTTGACCTGGATCAGAATAGTTTTGTCACAGCCGAACTTCTCCAAATGCCCATGCCTGAGGATGCCAAGGACCACCATGACCACTATGATGTGAAATGGCAGGTGGTGTGCCAGAAAGCAGGGAAACGATTTGAGACCAAGCGTCTGCGGCACGCCACAGATTTTTTTGAGAAGCTTTTTCGCTTGGACGTATTTGGAAAGGGCTCTTTGAAGAAGATCGTAGAGGACGCAGCGAAACTCCAAGTAAAATCCATCTACGAGTCGCGCCTTCAGAATGGCATGCCTTCCTCGTCAGTGGATTTTGACCTGCGGCGTATTCAGGAAAAGCACCGGCTGAGAGATGCAGTGCTAAATGATGACTTAGCATTTCTACTGAATGGTGCTTTATAGAAAAGTGTGGAATTACACAGGAGCTGGCCGTAGACAATACATTGTTTTTCGGCCAATATTCAGCAAGTCTTTTGACTTCCTCACAGCTCACAAATCATCAAGCAGAGAAACTCAAAGAACTTTTCAGGTATTTACATGAAGACGTCCATTTGTCAGCCCCAGCTGGAGCGGGGAAATCATTTGTGGCAATCCGGCATGCGATCAGCAAACTGAGTTCGAGCAGTCAGGGGAAGATTCTATTCATCTCCCCGAACCGATCTCTGGGTTTTCATTTTGTCCGCTGGCTCCTCGCGTACCGTATGCAAAATCATCGGTACCAACGATGTCCAGGAACAAGCTCTTACAGCGACTTGTTTTGATGCATGCACCCTATGACAGATTCACGGGAGTACAAGTTGAAGATTCCCACATTGTTCTGCCGGAATTGACGGTCATGCCGGATGACTTGGTTCTCGCAGTTTTTGATGAAGGGCATGAAATATTCAGAACGAACCAAAGCATATTCCAGGAAGTTCGTGCCCAGCACAAGTTGATTCTTTCAGATGTTTCGCAGTCCTTCTTACTTCAAAACAATTATCCTGAAATGCGCCGGGTGAATCTCACGGAGGTCGTTCGCAGCACACAGCGAATTGTATTTGGAGCTAACACATTTCAACTTCAAGATGATGAGCCAACTACATGCCTTGGCACAACTGGTCCTCCACTGAAGTCATTCATTTTCGAGATGCCCGAAGGGTATGATGGTGGTTTGTATGCGCAGTTTGCCGAGAACACAGTGAAAGCTCTGTGGTTCATTTTAGAGACATACCCCAGTATTCGGCTTGATCGGCACGTCGCATTGCTCGTGCCAAATGAAGACTTCCACAGAACTTTCAGGTTCCATCTTGAGGCGCGTTTGGAAGCAGTTTTTGCGCCAACATACAGGATTCAGCTGATTTCTTTCGAGGAATATCAGGACAGGAGGGAGGATGACCTGATTTTTGACTGGGACACCAACGCCAAAGGGTTGGAGCAGCTGTTTATCATTTGCATTGGCTTTGATGCGTAAATCACCGGTGACACTGACAATTTCACCAGAGCGCGCCTTTATCATGCTATCACTCGAGCACAGCTCCAAGCCATTGTTGTCGACCGATTCGCCCGTGGTGGTTGATTGGAGTTTCTCAATGCTTTGAAACTCAAAAAGACGACCTTTCAAGCCAGCCAATGATGCAAAATTGGAGATCAAGAAGGATGCAGCTCTCACAATAGTGGAAGACTCTCGGCCGGAAGCTGTGCCAGGTAAGCCGACCAAACGGGAGAAGCGTGTATTTCACATTACTATGTCACCATCAAATATATGAATTATAAATGAGTCCAAAGGCATTTGTCATAGATTTGAAGATCAGAAAGGCATTGTCGAAAGGTGGGTCCAAATGAGAACTGCTTGGAAACCTGCATTTCCGAAGCTGATTCACGTGCAGAAGCGGCCACCAAGGCACCTGGAGGGTGTCTGCCGTCCATGTTTTGCTTACCAGGTGGGTTCCTGATGAACAGTTTTGTACCAAGATTAGGTTTGTATTTTAATATGTTTGAAATTGAACAGCTTGCATTCCTGTGTGAAAGATGAAAAAAATCGTTTCTCCGGGTCTCCGAGTAGAGCGGTGCCCCCTGGCTTCAGATCCACCTGTGGACAGGAACCTGCTTCATCCATGGGCCAAACAGCAAAAATCACCGCGGCCCTGGCCTTGGAAGATCAAAGTGGGTTGTTCCAAACATAGGGGACTGGGATACGCTAAATTGCCGTTTCCAAGAGAAAATGCTGATCAAACAGTGATATTGGAGTGCCTTATTTTGAGACAGGCCTGAGAGTTGTGACTTCCACAGCTGTGTGCAGTCACCTTTTCACCTGCTCCAGCGAAGCGGTTCAGGAACCAGAAGCTGGCCCAAAGGCACTGGAAACTTGTATTTGTTTCCTTTTTACTTTTTTTTACACATCTCAACCAGTAAAAGCATCAACTGAATTCCTGGTCTTGTCAGTAGGTTGCATGCATATGGTACCATGCCACCTCAAAAAATAGCAGCATGATAGCCATGTCCGGAGTCAACTTGATTTGTTGTGAGACATGGCTCGGTTCTTGAGCATGCAGGAGCCTGCGGTGGTTGAAGTGCTCCCAACTTCCATTTGGGACACCAGCAGCAACGTCATCAAAACCAAGATTGCGAAGTTGAAATTTGATCCAAGGTCTACTGAGGACACAACACTGTGTGACTTTGTCATCAACGTCATACATTGCAATAGAAGACGAAATCTTCAAAGTGTGCGTTACTTTGCCTCAAGTCTGTGATAAGTCATTGCTTTAAAGTTCCCTGAAGTTTTCATGGCAACATCCAAAGTGTATACAGAATGTCGCCAGCTGTGACACCAGGAAGATCAGGAAGATCCAGAACAAGTCGCAGCCGACGAAGCCGCGGCTGCGAAACGTCTGGAGCTCAGTCGGTATGACTATAGAACTTCAGGCAGAAGGTCTGGAAAAAAATGAAGTTGCACTTCAAGTTCCATAACAATCATAACAGAACATTGAACATCAGGAACTTCAAAGTTCAATAAGTTCAGTTTCTAACTCATTCAATAGAAGTTCCATAAGCAGACTTGGACTTAGATAAAACATAAAGATCAAAGGAGCTGAGGAAAAAATATCTTCATTGCTGCATTTCTCCGCGCGCCGAGACGCCAACATCGACGCGGCGCGCTGGGGCGACCTCCCGGCGGTCCGCGGCCTGCGCCGGGACCGCCTGGACCAAGACCTGGACGGCCTGGTGCTGCACCGGGCAGCCCGCGGCCACACGGAGGTCGTCGCCTTTCTCCTGGAGGAACGCCACGACCTCCGGGTGGCCGCGGGCTGCTACCCGGTGCAGGTTCCTGATGGGAAAAGCCTCTTGGCTGCACGGGTGAGGCTCAATGCAGTGACCCAATGGCATTGTAGGTGGGAATATCCATGGATGAAACATGGTGAAGCTGCTGGCACGGGCGGGAATGAAACCATGAAAGGCGTGGGGATAGCGTGCGGTACCAGGGATGTTTACGCATCCGATTTTGGACACATGGCTCATGAAGCCTAAACCCATTGCCAAATCATCACAAGCCACCGGCCAACAATTGAGCACAGGTGAACCATGAATTTGATGGAATCTGCAGAATTGATCCGGCGAGAACAAATCAGATTATCAGACTAGGCACGGACAGAACAGGTATGTCTTTTTTGGTGCTTGACTATCTTCAGCACTACATGGCCTAAAGGTCACCGATGAGCACGCACAGGAGTAGGGCATTTGTTTGCTAAGATGTTTCTGCTGTCCATATCGATTTTTGGGGGTTGAATATTTTTGGGCACCAGGTGTTGTTTGCACATTTGCTGCGCCCAAGGCATGAAATATAAGGCCTGGCACCGGGAATAGCTGTTTTGGTGTCTCATGTGCCAGTCAGTTTTTGCTGGAAATGACAGTTAATAAAGAACTGGAGCGATCATCAAAACGTTCAGGGGAATGATAAACATGGCTAGGGCTAGCAGCATTGGAGTGCCTTATTTTGAGACAGGCCTGAGAGTTGTGACTTCCACAGCTGTGTGCAGTCACCTTTTCACCTGCTCCAGCGAAGCGGTTCAGGAACCAGAAGCTGGCCCAAAGGCACTGGAAACTTGTATTTGTTTCCTTTTTACTTTTTTTACACATCTCAACCAGTAAAGGCATCAACTGAATTCCTGGTCTTGTCAGTAGGTTGCATGCATATGGTACCATGCCACCTCATAAAATAGCAGCATGATAGTCATGTCCGGAGTCAACTTGATTTGTTGTGAGACATGTCTCGGTTCTTGAGCATGCAGGAGCCTGCGGTGGTTGAAGTGCTCCCAACTTCCATGTGGGACGCCAGCAGCAACGTCATCAAAACCAAGATTGCGAAGTTGAAATTTGATGCAAGGTCTACTGCGGACACAACACTGTGTGACTTTTTCATCAACGTCATACATTGCAATAGCCGACGAAATCTTCAAAGTGTGCGTTACTTTGCCTCAAGTCTGTGATAAGTCATTGCTTTAAAGTTCCCTGAAGTTTTTCATGGCAACATCCAAAGTGTATACAGAATGTCGCCAGCTGTGACACCAGGAAGATCAGGAAGATCCAGAACAAGTCGCAGCCGACGAAGCCGCGGCTGCGAAACGTCTGGAGCTCAGTCGGTATGACTATAGAACTTCAGGCAGAAGGTCTGGAAAAAAATGAAGTTGCACTTCAAGTTCCATAACAATCATAACAGAACATTGAACATCAGGAACTTCAAAGTTCAATAAGTTCAGTTTCTAACTCATTCAATAGAAGTTCCATAAGCAGACTTGGACTTAGATAAAACATAAAGATCAAAGGAGCTGAGGAAAAAATATCTTCATTGCTGCATTTCTCCGCGCGCCGAGACGCCAACATCGACGCGGCGCGCTGGGGCGACCTCCCGGCGGTCCGCGGCCTGCGCCGGGACCGCCTGGACCAAGACCTGGACGGCCTGGTGCTGCACCGGGCAGCCCGCGGCCACACGGAGGTCGTCGCCTTTCTCCTGGAGGAACGCCACGACCTCCGGGTGGCCGCGGGCTGCTACCCGGTGCAGGTTCCTGATGGGAAAAGCCTCTTGGCTGCACGGGTGAGGCTCAATGCAGTGACCCAATGGCATTGTAGGTGGGAATATCCATGGATGAAACATGGTGAAGCTGCTGGCACGGGTGGGAATGAAACCATGAAAGGCGTGGGGATAGCGTGCGGTACCAGGGATGTTTACGCATCCGATTTTGGACACATGGCTCATGAAGCCTAAACCCATTGCCAAATCATCACAAGCCACCGGCCAACAATTGAGCACAGGTGAACCATGAATTTGATGGAATCTGCAGAATTGATCCGGCGAGAACAAATCAGATTATCAGACTAGGCACGGACAGAACAGGTATGTCTTTTTTGGTGCTTGACTATCTTCAGCACTACATGGCCTAAAGGTCACCGATGGGCACGCACAGGAGTAGGGCATTTGTTTGCTAAGATGCTTCTGCTGTCCATATCGATTTTTGGGGGTTGAATATTTTTGGGCACCAGGTGTTGTTTGCACATTTGCTCCGCCCAAGGCATGAAATATAAGGCCTGGCACCGGGAATAGCTGTTTTGGTGTCATGTGCCAGTCAGTTTTTGCCGGAAATGCCAGTTAATAAAGAACTGGAGCGATCATCAAAACGTTCACGGGAATGATAAACATGGCTAGGGCTAGCAAGCAGCTCCCACTTGCCTGTGAGGAGCTTTGTTTCATTAATGGTTAATTAGCAAACATGCGAAACTTGATGAACATTGCAAACACCAAAGCTGTGACTCTTGGGCTTATAACAACATGCTGGGTATCTTTAAGCATTAATCAGTTGTCCTTGGCAGCAAGATCTCTCCAATGCAGAACCCTATCAATATAGCTATACACCTTTGTAAATTGTTTTGGCGCAAGAAATGCTAGACATGTCTGCGAGTGTCTGACAACATGAAGTTTGTGGGAAAGCATCTCCAGTCACCTGCTTCGCCTCCCGTTTTTGCAGGCTTGGTATGGTGATTTCCACATACTTCAATTTTGGGCCAAAGGTGCCTTTGGAGAGCATCCTGTGAAATGATCAAAGATGTGCTGTCCAACGCCGTTGGGTCCACGGTGGGTGTGGATTAAAATCGGGTGTGGCTTTCGATGGTTTAATTATGTTTTAAGAATACAATGCTAGCTAAAACCAGAATCTAAAATGATGGACATTTGCAAACTTGCCTGTGTGTTTTCTGGACCCTGTGGGGATATTTTTTTTGGATCTGCATGTGTTTGTGCTGGACCTGGGGATTTTTTTTGAGACAGCGAAATTAATTGTTTCTGACCTCGGTTTCTTTTTTTGGGACCCGTGCTGTTATAGGCGCTCACATTGGGGTGGATGTTTTTGGACCTTGGCGCCTTCTTTTTTTTTGAACCTGTACATGTTTTTTTGGACCTGGCACAGGGTGGGAAGAATTTAGATATTGATGCAAGATGCATGCAAGAAGTTGTTGACGCAGGGGAGGTTCAAATATTGAAACGAAAAAACGTAAGAAGTGGTGGAGAGGCCAATGGGGGAAGTTTACGTATGAAGCGAAATGGATGCAGGAAATTGAGAGGCACATAGGGGGAAGGGAAAATTCGATATTGAAACAGGATGAGCGCAAAAAGTTGTTGAGAGATGAGGGGTGAAGCCTAGACATTGAAACTAAATGAAGATACATGCAATTACTTTACTTCGTGTGATCCCCACCATGACATTTATACATGTTGTTACTCGCAAATCTTCTGGCATTCTATCTGACATCTTCTGGCATTCTATCTGGCATATCTTCTGGCATATGTTCTGGCATATCTTCTGGCATTCTATCTGGCATATCTTCTGGCATTCTATCTGGCATATCTTCTGGCTTTCTATCTGGCATATCTTATGGCATTTTATCTGGCATATCTCATGGCATTCTATCTGGCATTCTATCTGGCATATGTTCTGGCATATCTTCTGGCATACCTTCTGGCATTCTATCTGGCATATCTTCTGGCATATCTTCTGGCATTCTATCTGGCATATCTTCTGGCATTCTATCTGGCATATCTTCTGGCATTCTATCTGGCATATCTTCTGGCATTCTATCTGCCATATCTTCTGGCATTCTATCTGGCATATCTTCTGGCATTCTATCTGGCATATCTTCTGGCATATGTTCTGGCATTCTATCTGGCATATCTTCTGGCATTCTATCTGACATTTCTTCTGGCATTCTATCTGGCATTCTATCTGGCATATCTTCTGGCATATATTCTGGCATATCTTCTGGCATTCTATCTGGCATATCTTCTGGCATATCTTCTGGCATTCTATCTGGCATATCTTCTGGCATATGTTCTGGCATTCTATCTGGCATATCTTCTGGCATTCTATCTGGCATATCTTCTGGCATATTATCTGGCAAATCTTCTGGCATTTTATCTGGCATATCTTGTGGCACTCATGTTATCTGACATTCTATCTGGCATTCTACGTGGCAAATCTTCTGGCATATGTTCTGGCAAACATTCTGGCACTTTATCTGGCATATGTTCTGGCATATCTTCTGGCATTCTATCTGGCATATCTTCTGGCTTTCTATCTGGCATATCTTATGGCATTTTATCTGGCATATCTCATGGCATTTTATCTGGCATATCTTCTGGCATTCTATCTGACATTCTATCTGGCATCTCTTCTGGCATTCTATCTGGCCATTGAGGTCCAGCGGTGCACACTGAGCTGGGCAGGTCCCAGGTTGAGGTCCAGCGGTGCACACTGAGGTGGGCAGGTCCCAGGTTGAGGTCCAGCGGTGCACACTGAGCTGGGCAGGTCCCAGGTTGAGGTCCAGCGGTGCACACTGAGCTGGGCAGGTCCCGGTTGAGGTCCAGCGGTGCACACTGAGCTGGGAAGTTGGCGAAGAGCTTGGCGAGGGGAAGTGGAGGTGGAAGAGGCGGAGGCGAGGAGGAGGGCGAGGAGAACAGCTAGTCGAGGAGGAGGAGGAGGCGGAGGAGGAGGCGGGCATGCGCTCTCTGGCAGGTGGGGAAAAAAATCTGAGAGAGGCAGGGGAAGTTTTGGGACCAAAAAGTGAATGCCGGAAGCTGCTGAGAGGCACACGGTGGGGCGATTTCGATATTGAGACAAGATGCATGCAAGAAGGTGTTGAGAGAAACGGGGGAACATGTAGATATTGAGGCCAGATGACCGCAGAAAATTGGTGAGAGAGAGGCAGGTGGGAGATGGGGAAGTTAGACATCGAAGCGAGGATGAATGCAAGAAGTTGCTGAGATGAGAAGCGGAAATCTAGGTGGTTAACCCAAATGACAGTCCATGCAAGACGCTGTGGAGAGACAGGGGGGGAGAGCTTAGATATTGAACCGCATGAATGCGGAAAGTTGCTGAGACGCACAGGTGGGTGGGACTTTAGGAGGCCACAGGGGAACCAGATATAAAACCAAATGAATGCAGGAAGTTGCTGAAGGGCACCGGGGATATTGAAGCAAGTTGCATGCAGGAAGTTGTTGAGGGGCACCGGGGAGGAAGCCTAGATATTAAACCAAGATGAACGCAAGAAGTTGTGCGGAGGCTACGGGGGAAGTGTAGATATTGAAACCCAATGAATGCAGGAAGTTTAGAAATTTGATGAGACGCACAGGGGGGAAGTTAGGTACTGAAACCAGATGAGCGCAAGAAGTTGTTGAGAGACAGGGGAAGTGTAGACGTTGAAACCAAATTGAGATGCATAGTAAAAGTTGTTAAGAGACGAGAGGGGAAGTATTGAAACCAAGTGAATGAATGCAGGATAATGCAGGATTTTTCTGAGATAGATATTGAAACCAGATGAATGCCCCCAAGTGGGGCACAGAGGTGTGAAGAGTAGACATTGAGAAGAAGAGGGCGGACTGGGGAGGAGGTGGGAAACCCAATGTGTCACAAGGAGGGGTGCTGCACTCCCTGGAGAGTATAGATATTGAAACCCAATGAATGCAGGAAGTTTAAGAAGTTTGATGAGAGGCACCGGGAGGAAGTTAGATATTGAAACCAGATGAGCGCAAAAAGTTGTTAAGAGGCCAGAGGGGAAGTCTTGACACCAAGTGAATGAATGCAGGCAATTGCTGAGAGGTACCAGGGTGGGAAGTTTAGATATTGAAACCAGGTGAATGCCCCCAAGCGGGGCGCTTTCACACAGGCTGACACCAAGTTGAGCCCCTGCGCAACTGAAAGGCCGAAAGAGGAGTGAAGAGTAGAAATTGACCCAATGTGTCACAAGGAGAGGGGCGCTGCACTCCCTGGAGAGCATAGATTCGGCATAGATATCGAGACCCAATAAATGCAGGAAGTTTAGGAAGTTTGATGAGAGGCACATGGCGGGGAAGTTAGATATTGAAACCAGATGAGCGCAAGAAGTTGTTGAGAGACAGAGGAAGCCGAGATATTGAAACCAAATGCATGCAGGAAGTTGCTGAGAGGCACAGGGGTGCAGAAGAAATTCGGATATTGAAACAACATAAACGCAAGAAGTTGTGGAGAGACCAACAGGGGGAAACCTACATATGAAACCAAATAGATGCAGGGAGTTGGGATGCACATTGGGGGAAGAGGAAGTTAGATGTTAAAACAAGATGAGCGCAGTAAGTTGTTGAGGGATGAAGCCTAGACATTGAACCCACATGACGAAGCATGCAAGAAGTTGTGGAGAGACGAGGGGGGGGAACCTAGATATTGAAGCTAGATGCATGCAAGAAAATAAGGAGAGGCAACGGGGGAACCAGATATAAAATCAAATGAATTCAGGAAGTTGCCGAGGGGCACCGGGGAGGAAGGTTAGATATTGAAGCAAGATGAACGATGAACGCAGGAAGTTGTTGAGGGACACCGGGGAGGAATCTTAGATATTGAAACAAGATGAACGCAAGAAGTTTGTGGAGAGGCTAGGGCCGGGGGGAAGTATAGATATTCAAACCATATGAGCGCAAAGACATTGAACCCAAATGACGATGCATGCTAGAAGTTGTGAAGAGACGAGCGGGAGAAGCCTAGATATTGAAACCGCATGAATGCAGGAAGTTGCTGAGAGGCACAGGTGCGTGAGAGCTTTAGAATCAGAATATTGAAGCAAGAGGCTTGCAAGAAATTGCGGGGAGGCCAGGGGGGTGCCACATATGAACCCACATCAATGCAGGAAGTTGTTGAGGGGCACTGGAGGGGAAGTGTAGATATTGAAACAAGACGAATGCAAGAAGTTGCAGAGAGGCTAGGGGTGAAGTATAGATATTGAAACCCCATGAATGCAGGAAATGTAGGAAGTTTGATGAGGGGCACAAGAGGGGGAAGCTTAGATATTGAAACACGATAAATGTCCCCAAGTGAGGCACTTTCACCCAGGTTGACACCAAGTTGCGCCCCTGCGTAACTGAGAAAGGCCGGAAGAGGTGTGAAAAGTAGGAATTGAGAAGAGGGCAGCAAGGGAAGGCACGCAATGTACTGAAATGCCTCCTGTCTAGCCCCCTGCTGTCTGAAGAATTGCGATCAAGACGCAGCTTGGAGAATCTATCCCAAGGCGGTGTGGTTTGAGGAGGGTGGTCTTGCATTTCACATTTTTTCACTTTTTGCGAACGCCAGCCGATAGGCTAGGCAAAGTTGTTTTCGCGAACGAAGTGAGTATAGGGGGTGTGGGGGGGGGAGGTTGCCCAGGTGCACCGAAATTCCGATATTGGGTGGTGATAAGGGTGGCCAATTGGAATTTTTTAGGGGGTCATGTGCCACTAGGCAATTTGGTGACGGTGGGGTTCGATTCTCCCTAGGTCCTTTGAAAACGGAAGGAATAAGGTAGGAAAAAACCAAGGAAAATGAAGGAAAATCATTAAAAACAGGGGGAAAATGGAGGATTGTGAAAAACCATTAAAACGGGAGGAAAAATGACTGGCAAGCTTGGAAAAACCAAGGAAATCGAGGAAACCGTTGGGAAAATGAGGAAATTGCAGGAAGGAAACTTTGGAAAAACCGTAGGAACACAGGAAAAGGTTTGAAAAAAAGGTATGAAATGGAGGAAAGGCAAAGCTTTGAAAAAGCTAGGAGCATAGAGGCAAGCATATTGAAAAAACTAAGGATCCGAAGCTCAACGGAGAGCAGCGTCCGTTGGGGTTCGGAGCAAGACGGTTTGCAAGGGGATGAGGAGTGATGCCGAGGAAGGAGTGGCGAAGGGTTGCCAAAACTGGAGGAAAATGGAGGAACATTTTTGAAAAAAGCATTAAAATGGAGGAAACATGAATGGCAAGCTTCGAAAGACTAAGGAAAATTGAGGAAACCGTTGGGAAAATGAGGAAATTGCAGGAAGGAAACTCTTGAAAAACCGTAGGAAAACGCAGGAGAAGGTTTGAAAAAAAAAAGGCATGAAATGGAGGAAAGGCAAAGCTTTGAAAAAACTAGGAACATAGAGGCAAGCATATTGAAAAAACTAAGGATCCGAAGCTCAACGGAGAGCAGCGTGCGTTGGGGTTCGGAGCAAGACAGTTTGCAAGGGGATGAGGAGTGATACCGAGGAAGGAGTGGCGAAGGGTTGCAAAGCAAGGACAAGTGTGAAAAAAAGGAACATGCAGGCAAGTTGGGTCATATATATATATATAATTATATACATGGATAATGTGCTTTAGAAAGACTTCTTGCTGCTGGAAGTAACAAAAATGGAGGAAAACCAGGCAAAAACGGGTGCTACTGCGACATTTCTTTGCAGAACCAAAAAGATTCCGGCTAGGGCTGGCTTTCGTCCCCCCTTCTCAGGTTTAAATTATTCAGCTTCCGTTTTTGTCATCTGTTTTGTCTCTTGTGCTTCTGCCTTTTATTTTCCTATCCTTTTACGGCATCTTGCTGTGCAGGGTCTCCTTGTTCGAAAATTGCTACGAACTGATGCCGGTCTTCAGCGCTTCGGCAAGCCGCCGAAGTGCAGGATTTGATCCTCGAGTCCGGAGTCCAATTTGCAGAGCCAAGATGACCCAAACCGTTTGGCCCAAACCGAAAGCTCAACTATATTGAAACCTCTGGAGTGGTATGAAATGGTCCAAACATGTGTCCTCACTGTTGGTTGACAAAGCTGTATACATGCTGGTAAGATTTATGTGAACCAGCATAATTTCTATGATACTTACAAACGTTAATCTGGATCCCTCAAGCTACCCCAAAATTCAGGTTTGCAAACTGGAGAGAAACATAGTAGGCCCATGTGCTTTTCACACCACCTGACACGGACATCATGAACTTCAAAGCGCCAAAAATGGTGATTTTGTTGTAACTGTGATGGAGACGCTTGAGATTCCGAAATGAACAGCCATTGTGCGGTATCGGATCAACTTTGTCCCCATACCGAACCCATTGGCATGATCTTCGACCGAGGCTGCAGGAACAAACTGGTGCCAAGCGACCCCTGGAAGCCGAGACTTCGACGAAGGCAAGATTCAAACTTGGTCAGGTTGAAACGGAGGAGACATGGAACTACATGGGACTACATGGGACTACAGAATAAGGTGGGGTGAATGCCGAGATATTATTTCTTTATTTTGAATATACACAGCCTGCCACCTGAATGACGAAACCACACGTTTGATTGTTGTTGATGCTATTCATATCTATTCATGCTATTATGCTATTGGATGGGTATCAACAAATCTGTTTCCAAACGCAAAGTTGTTGGATTTGGGGCTCAGGTCGGAGGTATCGAGTCATAGCCGCTGCTCCCAGTGCTATGTTTGCTCGTTCAATTCCTATAGGTGCTGTTTGACGAAGCAAATTTATATATTTTTCTCAGCTGCCAATAGCTCCCACACGAACAACACTTTGCAAAGGCATGCTAGCACATGCTAGCGCTTTGATAGTTCTTTGTCAAGGCTCTGCATTGGTTTTCATACGGGTTTGCGTGGGACATGTTTTGTTTGTGCAACACAGGTCCAAAGACTTGAAATTAACGCCAAAATAAGTTTCTGTATCGAAAGCCCTGAAACCTTGCAGATTCAAGGAGTCATTTTGGACCACAGTGGGGTGCCACAATGTTTATCAATATTTATAAGCAGCACAATCTTTTCTCGCGTTTTCCAGCGTTAAGTGTTTTCCGGTCGTTTGCTTCAAGATGTGTGATTTTCTTCTGTCAAGCTCGGCTCGCTCGTATCCAAAACACTTGAGGCGGCCAAAGTCATCACATAGTCCTGGGAAAACCGTCATTGAGCAGGACTGCACTCAATCATCAATAAAGAACACGAACAGAAGCAAACATTGCTGACCAAAAGCGCCATGGTGCGAAAGCACGGGGATGGCATGTGGCAAAGCTCTAAGAGAGCCAGGCAGAGCAACCCAGCCGCCTCACGCTCAGCGAACCTGGCCCAATCTTGCGAAGTCAAAGATGTCAGAAGTGAAAGAAGAAAAAAGTGAGGAGCAGGATGAAGTGGACGAGCATGAGGAAGCACCAGAGGCACAGCCTAGACAGTTTTATTTCCATGCTTATCAGGTGAAAATCCCAAGTTTTTATGTCAGTTCTCTTCCTCCTTCTGCCCTTTGTGCTCTGTCCTTCTCTTCCTCCGGCGACGCAAGTGGGAATCAAGATTCGTAACGTGGAGAAGCTGTTGATTCGCAACGCTGCAAGTATATAGATGTAATTCGAAACGCATTCCAAGAAATGAAGGGTTACAATGTGGGGATATGTGGGGTGGAGATGTTGTTGTGCACTGGTTATATGGTATTGTATGGTATTGGTTTCTTGGGTTACCCGGTTCTAATTAGTTGATTGCGTTCTTGTGTTCTCTAATTTCCTGGTTATGTGGCAGTCCGGTTTTCTGGTTTGCTGGCTTCTCTGGTTTTCTGGTTGCTCTTCGGTTTTCTGGCCGGTTGTTTTGTTAGTCTTGGAGGGTCTTGTTTTTTGTTTTTTTGGTCACCTGGTTTTGCCGTGTTTTTTTCATGATGGTTTATTTTTTGGGGTTCGGATGGGAGGCAACAGCCACAGAAAGGAGGTTGTGGGGGACGTGCATCCAGCTTCCAATCGCCGGATCGGAGCAGCATGCTGCCCCCTTCGATGATAGGTGCTCCGTGTAGTCCTTCTGAAATATCTCATTGGCATCCGGTGTGCCATGCTTCTCATCAACTTCCCAGCATGGGTTCAGTGTCACCTGGAAGATGTTGGTCCTCTGCTGGTCTCTGCTGTTGCCCCATGAGACCAGCAGCTTCTTCTCCTTGCCCTTGTCCTTGGTCATGAAAGCGTTCATCAGGCTGTAGACGCTCTCAATGGGCGGTGGCACGTTTCACCTCTTTGGCCACTATGCGACTCCTCATTATTGCTATCACCCTTGCTGACATCTACCCACTCCAGCTTCAGTGGGGTCCCTTCGCATTCAAGGGCAGAAGCTCGGACGTAGACGCCTTCTTGGTAGATTCGCTTCAGCTCCTCCTCTCTCGCAGCTTTGACCAAACGTGGGTCTAGCTTTGCACCAGATGTGGCGTCGAAGAGCTGCTCCATCTGCCGATCCCACTCCACATTTCATCTGCCTCCAACCATCTCCTCCACGTTGCTGATGTCATGGTCCTTCTCCAGCTGACGCTTACGGCCTCTTGAGAATTGCCTCGGATCTCCTTTGCATACGCCTGGGCAGCTATGTCGATGGGGTTCTGCTCCTGGAATATGGTTTTGACAGATCCCTCCAGCTCCTTTGCAATTTCTTCTGCATTCGTCATCCAAATTGTTTCCTTGCTCACATGGCCAAACTGGCCGTCATCTGAGTCATCTCCTCGAAGCATCATGTTGAATCTGCACATCGGGTTGTTGACCATTGCCACGGACCTCCAGCTCAACCACTTCCTCGTCTTTCAGATACTTGATCAGTTTATTGACGACAAGAAGCTATGGATCTTCTCAATCACAGTCTCCCCCCACAATCTGCCGTTTGAAGTTGCTCAACCGCCCACGGTTGCTCCATTGCAATCAGATCTTGAGCCTCTTTGAAGTTTGAAGCCGCCCTCACGATCCCAATCCCATGTCTCTTCTCCGTTCGGCTTGAACTCCTCCAGGTCGTTTCGGGCTGAAGACTTCCACAATGTCCATTGATCGGCCCCAAGTTCTCTGCCGCGGCACCAACATCGTAGCCACCTGGCACAACATGCATCACAAGGTGGTTGGTATGTATTTTCCCGTAAAGATGTGATGCCACGTTTTCCCTGGCGAATGGCCATCTCCGAAACTGGGGCGCGTCCAAAAAATTGCACGCGAATGTATCCGGTATTTTCCCTAAAGATGTGTGGGAGCATTTTGTGGAGGCGGCGTGGGCTGCAGCGGTGGTAGGGAGGTGAGGTACGCTCGTGGGGTGCGCCTGGCATTTGCTGCGCTTGCCGCGGCATTTGGCGCCGGATGGGCACTGTATGAGAAAGCTTTTTGTTTTACTTCGCAGGGTTTCTTGACAGTGTTTGCCAGTGGTCTCTTCGCTGTGTCACCAGGTCGGGGGAGTTGTTTGTTCGCTTGCGTTGATGTCACGCAACACACAGCACACAAAACGACACTCACTCTCTCCCTCTTTTTCTCCTTCTTTCTCCTTCTTTCTTGAACCCTATACGACTGTTTTCTGATGAAGTATTTCTTAAGAAGATGGTAAAAAGCGATTGTTGTCTGCGAAAACGGGCCGACCTCACGTCCATGCCCCATTTGTTTCGGTAACCTATTTCTTATCGGCGAGTTTGTGGAATTTGTTTGTTCCATACTGGGCCCACCAAGGCCTGTGAGCGAAATTTCGCTTTCCACTTCAATGGGTGTCCCTGACGAAGCCCGAGCGCGAGCCCCTATTGCAAGCTGCGGCCTTCCGCTGGTCCTCGATTACTGATTGGCCGTGAAGGGTTCGCGTTGGTAGCGGCAGGTCCGCTCCGGTAGTGTGAAAACATGTTGCATTTGGAGGTGCTTTGATTTGACAGAGGAGGCGCAAAACCTTGTGGCGAAGCAAAGACAACTGTGACTGAACAGCTGGCCCCAAGATCTGAGGTGTGTGCGT